CGCAATTTCAATAAATCTGGCATTATATTTTTCATTACTACCTCGGAATTACACTGGGCTGATGAAACTAATGTTGTCTTTGGAAAAGTTATTAAAGGAATAGTAAGACTTTTATATATCCTTCTTTACATATTAAATAATAATTTTTTTAACAACAAATATTCAAGATAATTACAAAATCTAATGCTTGTTTTTTGTATTTACAGAATACTGTAAGGCTTATCGAAAATACTCGAGTTATAAACAATGTGCCAACAGAAGATGTTATCATTGCGGACTGTGGTGGTGAAAAATTAAATAAAACGATTCCGATCAAGGAAAAGGCAGCTAATAAATAAACCTATCGTTAACTTACATTGATTTTTTTTAAGACACATAACTTCTCCCTATTTTTGATGAATTTTAAAAATTACCCAGAAAATTGTTGAAACACATGGTTAAAATTTTAAAAAATTTAAAAAGTTTCTGTTCTTGAATAAAAACTCTTACAAAAAAGGTTTGCAGTTGTTACCAGTGAGTTTATTTTTTACATGTACAGGCTGTTAGTTCTATTGGTGTGGTGGATAATTTTTTAACCAACTTGATAGAATTAAAAAAAAAAGAGAAAAGTTTGTTTTCCTACTGATTCGGCGATTCTCATCAGGAGGTAAATGCAAGTCGAGTATTATCTATGCAAGCCATCAATCATAATTTCATCTATCCTGTAGTGCGATTCCGACTCCAATAACTTTTCCTCTCCGCTCTTTTTGGAAAGCAGAAATCAATGCACCATCATCCTGTACAGTTGTTGTCTTTGAATGGGATTGGATAAGTTTATCTGTATCCTCAGTGATTACTACAAACCCAAGATTTTTTTGTACAACGACATATACGAGTATCTATCCGTCATAAAATTTTCTTCTTGTAAAAAAGGCAATTTTTAAGTGACAAGTGTTGTCAGAAGGTTGAATGGAGCCATCAAACATATCAGGCTCCACATGCGCATAGCCCTCAAGGTCATACTTACAGGTCTTTGGTTACACTCACAAGCCCCTGTTAGGTGGTACCATCTTGGCCACAACGTTTTTGTCTATGTGGATGACGAACACCGCGGCCACTGCCATGATGGTGCCCATCGTATTAACGATGCTGAGTGAGCTCGAAAGGGTACGTATAATGTTTTTAGTTATATCTTTAATACGTAAGCAAAACAAGTGCCGCTATTGTTGCTCCGTAGCAATTTTCTTCTGCTTCGGTACCACGCATTTCTGCAAACCTTGCCACGATGATTTTCAGAGGGTCACCCATATCCCTAAAAACGAATTGCCTTCGTGCCCCGCAGGTACATTATTTTTCTCAGTTGTAAATATTTTCACACATATTAAATCTGATTTTTTACGTATTTTTGCAGGACCTCGAGCAAAACAACTGGGTGGAGAGGAGTGTCCGTTGTACGTTAAACACCCGCCGACTGGAGAAGAGTTCGCTCTTGGTTGCGGCATTTGTCGCAATGCGCAGACTTTTTAAGAAGTGGGGTGCCAACAAAATACTTTTACCGAAAGCATGGGAGAGTTAAAACTTTGTATTTTGCTTTTTTAATGCAAGACTTACTGCTATGACAAAAAATTACTCAATGAAGACGAGTTAATGTGAATGGAATTGAGATTACGAATCGTACCGTACGTTGAAAAACTGTGTATTAATAAATTATCGATAAATATAATTATGAACAAAAGTGCTAACATCGGGGCTATAATGGTCGCTGAGAAATAGATCCATTTTTTATAGAGTAAGTGAATAGGAAGATGATTTATACGAGCGCGGGTGTCTACTAGTGAGGAGAAAGTGATGTTTATACAAAGTCATTAGGTATAAATTAATAGTCTTGTATTAAAGTAAATTGAATTGCCTTTTGTCGATGATACAGGGAGAAGGTGTATTAAAAATGTAAAAATAAACCATGTGCTTATTAAGAGACACGAACGATTGTGTGAATGTAGGTAATTATACATAATGATGAAAAAGGAAGCAATGAAATTTACATGTGCGT